GAACAGGTGACAGAATTTTTGAATTCTTCGGTTACTGTTTCTTCTGGTGAAACCCATCCGGACTCTCCACTGCATGGATCTACACTGAAATTCCAGTCTGTCTTCCCCAACGCGTTCGCTATGCCTCCCAAGGCTCGTACTACAAGCCACAACAACAACAAATTAAATATATAGTCACTTAAAAAAAATGAAAAAGAAAAAAAGTGAGTGCAAAATAAGTTGTATAAAAAATAAGACATATATACATTCAGTATCAGGTAACGAGGCTGCGAATGCAAAATTTGCAAGGAAAAAGGTGATGAAAGAAGCGAGAAGAAATAACATGGCTGCAGGCATCTGAAAGTTGGAGAGATTGTTACAAAAAGAAGATTCAGGTTGAGTATATGTGTGCGAATGATGAATGAAATATATAGGAGTTTTGTCTTGGTGATTGGCTTAAAGAGGTGACAATTAGACATCGAAGTCAAGTCAACTATAGAAATATGGAGATTAATGGGGAGAGAACAAACAATCAGGTCATCTTGTCCCTACAAAAGTAGTTTTTAACTTTCCAACTTAAATAAATATTCTTAAATTTAGTATCCACTCCAAAAAAAACTTAGATTCAATTATTGGTTATTAAATTATTGTTTTTTGTCACAAATTAAAATTAACAATGAAATTTAAACCATTAGTAAAATCTTTGTCACTAATATTCTTAGTGGAGAATTTTACACTTGTCACAAAGAAAAAAAATTATAGTGATGAATATGAATATTAGTAATTTAATAATTATATGAATATTATAGCCAAACTTAATTTTAAATCATGTAATGAATTAGCTGCAAGTTTGCATAATTCACCTAAAAAAAGGCAATAACTGTTGAGAGAACTGAAATTATAATCAACAGTAAATTTAGAAAATTCCGAAAGAGATCAATTAACATGGATGACTATATATCAACTATCAAGTTTGAAAAGTAGGAGTACATATAGAGAACCCTAGAAAAGGTTGCAAACTACCTAGCTCTTTAACATTTATACGTTGGACCAGTAAGCCATTTAGGACTCTAAGTCTAAAAAGGATTCTATGGCAACACAATACCCGCCAGTTACCTCTCTAACTTTTAATTACCCTCAATTTTTTTTTTTTTTAGTTTGAGAAAAAAAGGGGGAAGGGAAGAATATTCCTTATATTTCCCTCCTATTCCCTCCCATCCTATAATATCCAACAATGAATTAGCTGCAAGTTTACATGGTCTGCTTACATCTCCGTTAAGATAGTTCACTACTAGAAACATTCCATGGCAACATAGCACCCATTAACTACCTCTCTTACTCTTAACTTTTACCATCAAGAGTATAATGCCCCAAATCCAATTTCGGTGGAAAATTGTAAGTGAATTTAGTATATAAATGTAGAAACCAATCATTACTAACAACTTAAATGTAGAGACCAATCATTATTAACAATTTAAACTTAAGTTTTTAAGGAACCACAAACCTTGACTTAAAATATTGTTAGGCTAGTGGTGGGTTTAAGCTAAGGTGATTAGGAACCTCTCATGCAAATATAAACAATCGTATTTTTCTTTTCCTTTTTTTTTTGTTTTTTTTTATGATGAAAAGATGATAACTTATTAATGAATAATATATAGAAAAATGTAATGGTTACAAGTGAACAAATATAGTGTAATGCACAATAAGTATTGCAAAACTTAACACTAAAATTGTAACATACCACTAGATTAAATATAGGATAATTTAGCAATCTAATCGTTATATGAATATTATAACTAAATTTAATTTCAGATTTTATAATGAATTAGTTGCAAGCTTGCATGATTCAACTAACCCAAAAAAAAGGGCAATAATTTTTGTGATATGCTACTAGCTAGAATTGGAACTTAATCAATAGTGAATTTAAAAAACTTTGAAAGAAATTACTACTAAAAAACAAAATATTAGCAAATAAGTATTAGCAACGTACGTTGACATGTATATGATAATTTAACATCACTGACATGTATTAAATTGCTATGTTGATAACTACGTATGAACTATCAAGTTTGAAAAGTAGCACATATAGAGAGAAATACCAATGAATTATTCTTAGAAAATGTTGCCAACTGCCAAACTCTTTAACATCGTATATATTAATGAGTAAGACGATTTCAAACTTTTTGGATGGGTATCGTTCTTTAACTAGACATTTCCCCTATTTGATTTTAGTTATAGTGAAACCATAATGGAATCAGAATCAGTCATATTCTGCCCCCATTAATTTCATGAGTTTATTCCACAAAAAATGAATGTGTGTTTGGTTAATTTCTTATAAATTTTCTAAT